TGGGATTCAGATAATAGTTTATTAACAAAACGAGATTAAAGACGGAATCCTTTTACTTATAAATATTATTTTACTTATTATCGTTTTTATATAATATCTAGTACAATACAATATAATATATAACTTTCAAAATATAATCATCTATATACCATAGGTATATATAATGTACTTTTTTTCCTGTCCCCCAAACCTTTAACCAATTTTACTACTACTACTATTATTATATTTCTTGTTTCTTACACACATTAGTGAATAGCATTATCATCAAGATGTTATTTAGATGATTTTTTGTTTTTGATCTAAAATTAAAAAAAAACCAAAAATAATCACAATAATTAATAGAAAAATATGTAAATAATAATAAGACTATTATTGTTGAAATGATTACCTATTAATTACGACACTATATAAGATAGACCAGTGGGATTCTTGAAAATGATAATAATAGGTTTTTGGTCCATCTAAGATGATGACGATGATAATTTTTATTATTAATAATTTTATTTTAAATTAATTAGAGAAATAAATTCTTTTAACTTACGAGAACAATAAATATTGTTCATTAAAAATTTCCTCTCGGAACACCAAGATAATTTATCTATATTATAAATAAATATTGTATGTATTGATAGATGATCATGATATTGAAAGTTTTTTCTCCTAATAATAATATAATAATAATAAATAATTTGAATTTCTATTAAGAAATTTTTTTATAAAATTAACAATGAGAAATTATTTAACAAATCATCAAATCCTAAAAACAATAGTAGTGATGATTTGAACTAATTAATTGTATTATTATATTCATGTATCTCATCCATGTATTTTTATAAAAGTAGAAGAAAAAGAAGAATGAGATTGTTTTAACAAAAAAAATTATTTTTTGTTTTATTTAAATTAAATTAAATTAAATTAAATATAATAAAAAATGCAACAAAAAAATTTTTATATACTTGCTAATTAAAAAAAACCCCAAAGATTTACAAAAAAAATTTTTTAAATTGCTAAATTACAGAAAAATGCGTTGAAGGTTTTCTATATCGGTAAAATTTTATGCATGAATGTATAAGTCTTTTTTAAGATGATGATTAATTAATCGGATTATTTATTATCTATACTAATTATAATTTGTAAAGTTACGAGCAAAAGATGAAAGTGAAAGGTTAGGGGAAGCATTTTGAAGAATATGATGATTTGTTGTTGATGCCACCGATTTCATGACTGTCGAATCCCTCATTAAAATATAAGTACCATCACGCCAACCCACCGTATTGCCAATCACAGAATAGAAGTAGAGTGGTAAAGCTGTCACTTCACGTATCGTCCATGCCAATATGAAACCACGTAGACTCTCAAGCTTCCTTCTTCTAAGAGACTGAAACAATTTCAAATCAATCATAAACCACATCAACAAATGGAACACAAGAAAATTAACCGGATGAATATTCCATAAAAGGTTAAATCCGTAGGATGAGCATAAACCACATACAATTGATTCTGTGAATGGTTCTACAATGGTGGCACTGGTGACGGTGTATTTTCTGATACGTATCCAACGTGATCTGCGCAGGAAATAATCGGTAGAAGACATAGAACCAAGTGGTTGATAGGCCAAATCACTGGTCATCACATGTTTGTAACCTTTACGCCAAATTTCTCTAGCGAGCAGATTATCCTCAGCCATATATCTACCAAAATGAGCTAAACCGCCAACATTCTCTATATCCTTTTTACGATATAGATTTGACTTACCAACAATGCAACTGTCAGGACCAAGTGCATTAATAGCTAAATACATTTTTGCATGAACAGTATCCATAAACATCATTTCTAATTCAGAACCAAAAGTGTCAGGCCGTACAGCAAATGGTAAATGATGAACAAGGCCAACATTTGGTTGACACAATTGCTCCACAGATCTTCCAAGACAACCAGGGTCAACATAAACATTCGAATCTAAGATCCAAATTATATCATGCTGAACAGATTCATATGAACGGATCATATTATTAATTTTTGGATTTACTCCGACATCTCCTTCCCCTATTAGATTAAATAATAATTATATATATATATGTATATCTACATCTATATATATTATTGAATGATAATAATATCTTACCAACCTATAATTAGTTTTGCATTTACTTGTGGAAAGTTATTCATTAATTTTCGTACAACTTCTATGGAAGGATCATTTTCAGTAGCTACTGAAAAGAGTATTTCGAAATTCGAATAATCTTGTAGAAACGTTGATAATAAGTTATCATATAAATTGCAATCTATGCCTTTAAGCGGCCTTATTATTGAAACACCAGGTGCTTTATCAACAGGTAATGACGAATATATTGACTTTTCAAGTTTACGATATCTTGTACGCCTATAATAAATTAAAATTATATTTTAAGATATATTTATTTAATATATATATAAATGGAAATAGATTGTTGATAACATACGCTACAATAAAACCCAAAGTTGACATAGAAATCATTATGAACCATAAAGTAAACGATAATATCATGAGAATTAATTGTGTCCTTGATAATGACTCCCATACTGAAATATGATAACTTATTATAATCTGTTGACTGTCTATATATGTTTGCATAATAAATTTATGAAAAGCTTCAGTTGGTATTGGACGAAGAAAATAATCAGTATTCATCTATATTACTATTATTATTGTTATTGTTATTATTACTGCCACTACTACTAATACTATTATTATGATTATTATATTATTATTAGTTTTAAATATTTTATGGTTAAAAAATATTAATTAATAACAGCTAATCAATCTACCAAAAATATTGTAAAGATTAGATTTATAAAAAGTCTTCTAATTTTTTTGTTTGTTTCTCTTTCTTATAACAATGTCTCTAATGTTGTTGTTGCGGTAGTAGCGATGGGAATTTGTTGTATAAAAATTGTTCTTGTTGCTGATTTAGCTTTTGAAAGAAAAAAAAGAACCAAAAAAAAAATTTACAAAATTATTTACAAAAAAATTTTAATAATATATATGTATATATATATATCGAGGAATTGAAAATTCTTTGAACTGTAAAGAGTAATTTCACGAGATTAACATACTAAAATAAAGCAAGACGAACAAAATATTATTTGTTATAAAAACAAAATAAAAAAAAATTAAAATTATATTTATATAATTTTTTTGTGAAATGAGTGATCAGTTGTACAAGTTCCAGAAAAAAAAATTTGTCAACAGGGCCGAGAAGAAACAATTAAAAGATCAATATTAATATTAATATTAAAAAATATTTTCGATAATCTTTTAATGGATATATGGCGTTTGTTTTATATGAAAAAACGACATTGTTTTTTATATTTCGAACATCCTTTTTTTGGGCTTTTTATTACGTAATTTTGTAATACAACATAAAGTTTCAAGTTACACGATATTTATTAATTATAAATGATCATGTTCATATTTAGAATTGCATTCAGGATGAATTAATCGAAAACTCAGATTTAAGAATTTGTAAATAGATACCTATCTATGATCTCCAATTTGATCACCTGACTTTAAATTAAAACATTTATATGGAGCATGCTGCAACAAAACCAGACAAAGTGAACATTAGTATTACCAATGATTTCATGTTCATATTTAGAATTGCATTCAGGATGAATTAATCGAAAACTCAGATTTAAGAATTTGTAAATAGATACCTATCTATGATCTCCAATTTGATCACCTGACTTTAAATTAAAACATTTATATGGAGCATGCTGCAACAAAACCAGACAAAGTGAACATTAGTATTACCAATGATTTCAGGAATCAAAATTTAGTCATTTGTAATGTGATCATAATTAACAGTTTTATAATATCCCATTTGTTATCTTAAGTGATATATAGAACTATCCCTATACAAAAATAATAATATGAAGTTAATTTATATCAGATCTACCATGGAACCCAAGAATTATAGTACTATCAGAAGTATTCTGAAGAAAGAGCAAGGTGAAAAAATTGCTCCTTATATTTTCAAAATAAATGATACTCAGACATTGGAAACTTATCTAAGAAAAGAAAGGATTACTTATGAAATTTACCATAAAGAAAGAAAAATATTAAATATTAAGAAAAGAAAGCAAAGTGGAGGTGCATTATTACCTAATAAAAAGCAAAAATCCTTAAAAGGAAAGTAACTACCATTTTCTTTGATAGTTGAAATGAATTTCAATTTATATAGAGGAAAACATTTCCTCAATTTTTAAACTATTTTTTTATTTTCAATCGAGATCATCTTTTAGTCTCTTTGACTTCAGTTTGAGCAATTAATTGACCATTCTGTTGACCTTTTAATTTCCTGTTTTCCTCTTCTAGTTGCTTAATTTTTTCTTCTAAACTTTTTATCTTATCTAATAATTCCTGTTTTTGCTTTTTACTCCACTCTTCTGATTTTTCTTGGAACCTGGCTACTTCTTCTCTTTCAATTTTTAATTCTTCTTTGGTAATTGATAACTCTTTTTCTAGTTCTCTAGTTTTATTTTCTAGGCGAAAGCTGAAAGCTTGTGAAAGTAGTTCTTTGTCAGAAAGTGGTTTAGTTGATTTAACTTTTAAATGACTACAAAAACATCTGTTTCTATTCCTTTTTAACCTAGTATGTCCCACATAATATTTTTGTAAAAGATCTTCAAGCCAATAAATAAAATTTGATTTTTTTAGAGAGTGATCATCATAAAATTTAGCCAATGAAATCAAAGTCACAACGTGATAACGAATGTCCATTGTGCTGATAATAATAAATCGAACTTCCTTCCATCATGCTACTATATACTGTATTACTAATATTTAAACAATGATAAATAATTTGCCAAACGAATTACTTTACACAATTTTGCAAAATGTTCAAAATACTTATGCATTATATGAGTAAGTAAATAAATATTAAATCATTTAAATAATAAAATATTTATTAATGTACAATTAATTATTTTAATTTTAAATTTAGTCGTCACCGATATTTATGGACGCTTTGTAGAACTTGTAAATTATGGAATGAAATAATTCCTTTAGTTATTAGTGGGTGTGCTTTTAAAAGATTTAATTATTTCAAAGATTTGGAATTCGAGGTAACTTCCATCTCTCATTGATTGGTTTTCTTCTAGGCATATATATACATATGTATATATATTAATAACATGTGTGATATAATAGGCAAGAATTGATTTTGGAACTTATGATAAAAAAAAATATTTTAAAACAACATTGATAAAATTTTCAAGAATATGTAAATTTAATTTTTTTCCATCAACTGAATCAAATGGATCATTTTTATCACCTACATCAGAAGAAGAAGGATCAGAAAGATCAGAAGAAGAAGGATTGATAATAATAAATAATTGTAGGATTAATTTGGGGATAGCTGTTAAATATAAAGATAATCCACCAAGTGGTTGGAAATTTAAATATTATATACCAACTATTTTATTACCTGGCGAGAATCCAAACAACATCAAAGAGATTAAATGTCATTCGAATATAATTATCGGCTATAGATTCAATATCAACAAAGAGAGAAATAATGATGAGAAGGGGAAACAAGTTTTTAAAAATAATTCAACTAACGATTATACCAATAATCCACAAGACATTGAATTATTGTATATCAATATGTCAAGAGATGCATTATTAAGGTATATGGATAATATGGATAACCTTAATTACTTGATTTCTGCCACTGGAATTAATTAGATTAGAATTTACAAAAAATTCGTTGTGATCGACAAAAGGTTCTTTTGCCAAGCCACCATCAAAGCCTCGAAGGATAAAAGATAATTAATCTAATTTAAGAAAGAAGCCACTGTTCGTCAATTTTTATTACAATTAAAAAATTTTTTACAAAAAGAATCGAAATATAAAAGATGTATTTGCATAATTAATCTAAGAAAGAAGCTACTGTTCGTTAATCATTGGTATCATTATCTTTTTTAATAATAAACAATTTCTTACATAGCCACACAATAGATTTTTTTTAAAAAAAAAAATATTCTTATTTTTTTAAGTTTGCTTCAAATCAGTCACGTTTATTTAATCCAATTCCTTTATTTTTTAATATATGAATGAATGGAAATATTTACTAGTAAAACATGCCCTCACTTAATCAAAACTTTGGATCCTTTAAGATATTCATTTGTTGATTCTCAAGGAAATGCTCATTTACCATGTGAGGATTCTTTTCGAGAAACAAATAAATAAATCGATCGACTAATTGATTGAATTTATCCTTTAGTGTATACAATAGGATGGATTGTTTCGTCGACATTTACACTTTTAGCGTGTGTTTTTACGTTTACGTTATTATTTCAACACGCAAGAAATTATGCAAAGGCATGTATTTATTATATTTATATATAAAACGTAATTACTTTATATATATACACCTTCTAAATTATAAAAATATATCAATCATGTGTAATATAGCCAGAACAACAAAGATTGGTGATAAGATTATTATTTATGGTTCCGGTTTATACAATATCAGATTTATTAGCATACTTCTTTATTCATAAATCAGTTTATTTTGCCTTTTTCCGTGATACATATCAAGCATGGTGTATTGCTTCATTTTTTAATTTATTATTAGAATATTTGGGTGATGATGGAGATTATAGAATTACCCAAATAGGAACAACAAAAATGCCTCCACCACTTTGTTGTATTAGATTCAATCCCTCTAAACATAAATCATTCTTCCTACCCAGTTTAAAATTAGCCGTGTTACAATACGCATTGATATTATATTTAACAACTTTTATCTCGGTGGTGTTGCAATTAATTGGGGTTTATTGTAAAGAAAATTATTCTATTTACTTTCCTCAACTTCATTTAGTAATTATACAAACAATATCTTCTCTAATCGCAAATCTAAGTTTGGTAAGGAATTCGAGTATTTGGATTGTGTGATTATTATTATCAATTAATTAATAAATAAATAAATTAATTAATTACAGTTGATGTTATTTGAATCTATTCGTAAAGAATTAATAGGATATCAATTAGGATTAAAAGATCTGTGCATAAATTGGGTAATTTAATTACTAGGAGACGATAATTATTTTGTTAACAACAATTAAAACGATTAATGATTTTTTTTAAATTCTTCAGGCACTTTTCATTGTTACATATCAAGGTACGATGATCTTCAAAAAAAAATATCCCCCCCTGTTGCAATTTAATGTTAAAGTAATTATAGTAAATGAACCATACATTGATAAAGCCTTCGATAATAAATAGGTCATATTCTTGCTCTAGCAGTTAATCTACGTAAGTGTTTGTTGTTTTCACATAACTTTATATCGTATCTATTTTCGTTATCTAATTTTTATGATTTTTTAGACTTTTTTGCGAACACGAAATATTTGTAAGTGAAAAAAAAAGTAATATATATATATATATGATTTGTAAAAAAGAACGTTTATACACACATTCAACTTTTTTAAAAAATTAACAGAACCGCAGACGATATATCAACGGCAATTCAATCAGTTTTAGTATCGATTGAATTTTTCTTTTTATCTCTATTACACATGAAAGCATTCAGTGTAAAGGAATATCGAGAATTAGGAGAAAGGATTTCAACTCCCGTTTTTTCATCTTTAAGAGATGCTTTAAATATACGGGATGCAGTGTTTGATTTTATTCATCTCTTAAAATTCATATTTCTCTATGCTGTCCTAAGAAGACCTGAACCCGAAAAAAGAGAAGATCCACAAAGAACTGCTGTCTCATTAAAGCCTTTGGCTGATATTATATCGAAAGAAGTTAGTAGTGATATTGGTAGCAGAAGTAGAAGTGAAAAAGATTATCTCAAAAAAGCTTCAAGCTTAAGTAGATCTACAACTAATACAAAAAAATTGAGAGGAAGTCTCAGATCCAAGCATTTACGACCTTCACCATTGGCATCAGATACTGATGATAATAAAAAAGAAAGTAGTGATGGTGGTGGTGGTGGTGGTGAAAGTAGTAGTGCTAAAGTCAATGTTGAGGAAAAGGGAAAAGATGATAGTGACGATGATGAAAGTAAGAAACACGAGAATAGCGGTGGTGACATTTAAATAAAATAGTTTTCGTATTAATAAAATATATATTTTTTATATTATTGTAAAATAATTGGTACAATTTAATATCATCCATCTTGTTATTATGCATAATAATGTAATAAATAAATATGCATTATGTTGAAATTATAGTGTAACATATATGATAGCATGGTTTGCTTGATTGGGAAATTCGATAAATATACGTTAACTATATTTATCATATTAATTAATATCCCCCTAATCCTTTAAATTTTTATTAAAAATAATTTAATTTCCACTCTCTTTTTTTTATTTTATGATGGAAGATGAAATTACAGTTGAAACTATTAACAAAATCAATCCAGTGTCATCAACTAGCATTGAAGATTCTATAAAAAAAATAATAAGAATAATCAAAGAAGATGATATGGTATCATATGTCTTGATCTTTTTTTTGATATCTTTTTTAAATTATAGTTGTTATAATTACGATTACGAATTATAATTTATTTAGCCAGCTGAAAAACTAAATGTTAAAAAGAAAAATTCAACATATTCATCAGAAAATCGTGTATATGAAGTATTGTACGAGAATCAAAGAGGGTGGGTAATTAATTTCAAAAACAGGAATAATAAATAACAACAATTTATCTTAAATATAATAATTAATTTATTACGGCTATTATTTTATTATAGATTATTTTTTTTCGGATTACCAAAATTTAATTCGAAAGCATTAAATCAAATGGATCCATCTCCATGGACAGATAAACATAACAAGTAATAAATAATACTAATTTATATGATAGTAATATTAATATTATAAGAAAGCAAATAAATAAATTAATATATATTTATTTTTATTTTATTATTTATATTAAAGATATTCACCAATGGATATTTATACATTTCAATTGCCGGATCCAACTTGGGAATGGGTGGGTTGTAAGTGATGTGTTGGAGAGAAATTGATTTAGAAGATATTGTTGACAAAGTTTATTTAAATTTATTTTTCAAATTTTAGGTTAATAAAGAATGGTTGATTGATATGTCTGGTGATGTTGACCAAGGTAAATTGTTGATTGATTGATAATAATATTTGTGCATGTTTGGAATTTTAATCTTAAATCCGATTTCCTTACAATGTATTATTTTTATATTATAGAAGGATGGGAGTATTCCATAGCATTTAATTTTAATCGTTGGCATGGTAAAATTTTATATTTTATTTAATTTAATAATAATAATTTTAAATAATAAATTGATAAATAATAAATTATAGGATGTTATAAATCTTTACGATCCTTTGTTCGTAGAAGAAGATGGATAAGATTACGCCGTAAAAAGGCAAGCATTTAACATATAAAATAGACACCCATGTGCTTATTCATATCCATATTCACATATCAATAATAACAGCTATATTATAATGTATAGGTTATAACTGATAGTGATAGTGATAGTGATAAAAAGTATTTATCAAAAATCAGTACAGATAAGGATGAGTCAAAGACAAAATCCGAAATTGAAAAAATTTGGTATAAAGTAAAAGGCTCCAAATTAGACAGGGAGAAATTAAATGTGATTGACGAGTATATAAAAAATGGGGGTGAGATAAATTACTTTAGCGGGAAGGTAAAAATAAAATAAAATTTATGATAATAATAATAATAATAATAAAAAATAATTATAATAATAATGGTTATCATTATTTAGATAGAAGATTTTATCTCTCTATTTGACCATCATGAAAGTAAGAAATTATTATTAGAGGTAATTATCAATAAAAAATTTATTTATTTATTAATTTTATTTATTCTTACTTTTTTGCCTTCCTTGAAATTCATAGATTTTATTAAAAACTGGAAATCCAAAAATTATTAAAGAATTAAGGCAAAAAAAATTCCTAAAATTTTATTCTGATCTCAAAACATTATTATTAAATTAATTTCAAGTTGTACTATAAAAATTTCTTCTTGAAGCAATTATATAATTGCACAACAATAATATAAATGACGGACGATACTAAAATAATTTATTCAATATCAATAATATATATATGTATTTACTTTTTCTTCTAATATCAACTTTTAAAACTAAATAAACCAGCATCCTAGAAATAATAATCCATAAGTTTTTGCATGATTGCTTGTATCATCATCATGAATTGATTTTACACATACAGTGCCCTGCCGAAAATGAATGGCCACCTAAAAAATTCTTTGATTGTAAATACAAACTAGTACACAACATGATTTCTTGTACAAAGTGACCACTTTTGAAAGTTTTATTAATGTCAAGTTTTCTTTGAAATTCAGAATTTCGTTCTATGATTTCAAACCAATCCATACTTGTTATACATATGCAGTTTAACAAAAACAGATCCACTCAGTACAAGAAATCATGTTGTGTATGTAAAATTATTATTACTATTAACAGAATTTTAGATGGCCACTCATTTCTGACAAGGTACTAAAATATTTGTATCAAAGGGGAAACTAGGGCCTGCAGTTTAGGGACCTCGCGTTTAGGGGGTTCTTTATTCTTATTCCCAGCTGAAACCCGAGTAGAATGAATATTAGATTATTCTTCTCTAGTAGAATAGAACGTAGAAGCTCGACTTTCTCCGGAGTGAAGGAATCGGTGCACAATTTTACCATGCCATCTAAAAATGATAAGTGACCACTTCCCTATTTCAGCTCTCTTACGAGATCGTACTCTTGTTCTTACGTGGGATATAGAAACATATGCCCCACGAATGGGAGAATTTGCAGAAGTTCTTGAAGAAAAAAAACAAGGTCTTTATGATTTGTATGACATTACACTGGAAAGATGAACCAGAGCCGTTAAAACAAATTTGTCTTGTTGATGTTGAAACCGCGCCAGACCCGCAATGGATTACAATCGTATGCAGAAATCAGGTAAATTTGCTAAAAGCATTCGCCCTTTGCTGGCGAGCATTTGCCCCTGACATCCAAGTTGGATTTAATGATTCCGACTATGATTGGCGGTTCATTATGGAAAGAGCTTATCACCTAAATATACTTGAATGGATGTGGAAACAAATGACTGGAAACTTCAAATCAAAGGAAGAAATTCTAAAGTGGAATTATCGTGGAAAGATAGGTGCAAAATCTGAAAATACTTTCAAGAAAATAAAGAATACTGTTGAAGGAGGTGGGGAGGGAGATGAAGATAAGGAAGAGAAAGAATATATGGATGGTCCAGTTAAAATTAAAATTAGCCCAGAAGAGGAATTTATTTCTAGTTTTCTTAAACTGCCAGGATGTGTACCAATTGATGTTTGGGTATGTCTCAAAAAACATTATCCCCGTTCTGAGGTAGAAAAGGAAGGCTCACTTAAATTCTTCTTAGAAAAATGCGGTCTTGATTCAAAAGCTGATATGCCATACAATGATATGTGGATGATCTATACAGAAGCAAAAGAACGGGACCACAGCCTTCCTCAACAACTGCGAGAAGAATGCATGATGTTGCGAATTATTGTATTATAGATGCACTACGTTGTCAGGAGCTTATGGTAAAGCTAAGTGTAATAAATGATTATAGAGAAGTCGCTTCTATAGCTTATGTATCTCTATTTGACTCACACTACCATGCAAATGGGATGAAAGTACGAAACCTTCTGGGTGCTTATGCTTTCAAGCGTGATATGGTATTTAGTACAAGGGTATGTAAAAATATAGAAAAAGGGAAATTTCCCAGCGCATACGTTTTTCCACCAAAAAAGGAATTGAAACGGAAAGACCTGTAACAGGATTGGACTTTGCTTCATTATATCCCAGTCTCATCATGGCTTACAATCTTTCTCCAGATAAAATAATACTAACCCGTAGAGAGGCAGATATTGTGCAAAATAATGGAAATATCTTGCATAAGATTGAGTTTCCATTTAATAACCACATCGTCCAAGCTTGGAGTGTAAGACATGATAATCAATTCGGAAAGAAGGGTTTATATCCTGTCGTATTAGAGGATTTATTCAACAAGAGAGTAGAGCTTAAAGTACAACTTGCCCTATTAGGAAAGAAAAAAGAACATCTTGGGAAAATGATAAGTTCAGTTAAAAAGAAAGGTAAAAAAATTCCAGAAAACTTAAATTTAGAATATTCATCCATATGCTTTGATTACGATTATTTAGATTCGAAACAAAGAGCTTTGAAGGTATATATGAACACTTTTTATGGAGAAGCAGGAAACTCAAAATCTCCAATCTTTCTTCGTGAATTAGCTGGAGGAACTACTTTGGCGGGAAAATACAACCTTAATCTTGTTGCAGAATTCGTAACAAAGAAAGGGTTTGAGCTGAAATATGGAGATACCGATTCTTTGTATCTCACCTGCCCAGATAAGTATTATGAAAAATACGATAAAGCCTTCTCCAGAAAAGAACTTTCTAAATAGAGTTCCAAAAAAGGAAACAAAATGGTCATAAAGGTGGTTGCAACCAGTGGTTGCAATCATTTTTATATGACGCAAAGGTGGTAGCAACCATCATCAAAAGTTGCA